TTTATTGCTATAGTGGTGCTTTTAATAATTCATTCTTTTGAAAAATTGTGTTAAAAATGGCGTTTATTCTATGTGCAGGTGGTAGACGAGTCTTCAGTTGCAGAAAGACCTGAAGCCCCCTCAAGGGCCCAAATAATCAAAGCTGAATGGTTCTGGACTTCAGTACAAAAGGAATTTTGTCTCGACGAGAAGGAATATTTATTTGACGACGTAAGCATTTAATAAGATTTCATTATTATGAAATTAAATGGAACTTGTTTTGTTTTTTACTTTTCTTTAGTATATCGAACAAGTACTGTCTCCAAGCACAAGAAGAGATTCCCATCAGGCAACTCCTAGCAGCGCCAGTCGACGTAAACGGAAACGACTTCAGGAAACATTATCATCTCTTGCCCATCAACAGTCACCCAGTTTACACAAACGACGGTCGTCTGTTAGCGATGCGGGTCTTTTATCTGTTTCTGGGTCGTTTTTGGATTCAACAGTTAGCCCAGACAAGGGGGCCATCGATGAGGAAGCCACCGCCGTTCTGGAAACACCTCGCAAGGTTTGCTCAGCCCGTCAGCAAGTGTTTCTCGAACTGGTACAAACTGAATGCAATTATGTGAACATCTTGCACACAATCATGACAGTAAGACAGTCGTCATTCGTTAACCCTCTTTATTTATCTTATACGTTTTATTGACTTCTGCAGATGTTTAAAAAGCATTTGGAGGAAATGCCAGAAGAAGAGGCTCTTTTGAACAATACAGAACTAAAAATAATTTTCGGAAATTTACCGCCCATCTACGAGACCCATCTGAAGATGCTTGAGGAATTGAAGTGGTCATCGAATCACTGGACGGAAGACTGTAGCATCGGCAATATAATTCTTAAGTATTCAACGGATCTGCTCAAGGCCTATCCTCCCTTCGTGAACTTTTTCGAGGAAATGAAGGAGATGCTCTTGCAATGCGACTCGAACAAACCAAGGTTTCATGCTTTCCTTAAAGCTTGCCAGACAAGGCAGGAATGTGGAAGGCAGACCCTTCAAGATCTGCTTATAAGGCCGGTACAAAGGTTGCCCAGTATCAGCTTGTTACTTAATGGTAAGTTTAGCTCTTCTTTTATTATTCCTTATAACGGAGATAGATCTATATTGATTCTTATTTTGTTTTTATCGTACCAGCTGGATTGTAAGAAGTAAGTAAATGTTGAAAATTAAAGAGGGAAATTGTAATAATAAATAATATTTTTGGAACTTCGTTTAAAGCTGGTGTTTACTTGTTTCTATTATTGTTTTATTCTTTCATTTGTAGATATTTTAAAGAATACATCTAAAAATAACCCCGATCATGCAGCTTTGGATAGGGCCCTTGCTGCTTTGAGGGAGGTCATGACGCACATTAACGAGGACAAAAGAAAAACCGAAGGACAAAGAGTCATGTTCGATATTTTCAACGATATAGATAACTGTCCTGTGAGTCACTTTTCGTGTTTTATTTAACTTTCGTTTAGATTCCAAAGACTCTTCATATGAGTTACTCTCTTATTTACGATATTACTTTTTTTTCAGTGAAATTGTTGGTTCAAGTAAGGGAAAATCTTTCAAATTGGAACTGTAATCGGTTGTTGTACTTATATGTCTTACTATAATAATTGAATTAATTGACAGCTTGCTTTTAGTCCAATTTAGAATTATTTTCTTTTTGTTAGTTCTGTTTTATTCATTAAGTTTAATTTATTATTGAATTAATTATTTGGACATGTTTTGTTACTTCTTACAGCCAGACCTGGTGTCTTCGCACCGTAGTTTTGTGACACGGTCGGAGGTAGTTCAGTTGTCTTCATCGGAGGGTCTTTCGGGCAAAGGTAATCCTCTCGTGTTATTCCTGTTTTCCGATCAACTGGAAGTTTGCAAGAAGCGTTCGAAAGCGTTCAATTCCCTTAAAAGTCCTAACACTGTCAACGGCTTTCATCAGAAGTCAACTACGAAACCATTCAAGCATGTAAAACTAATGCCATTAAGCACTATTAAACGGGTGATAGACATTAAAGAGACGGAGGAGTGCCAGAAAGTTTTTAGTTTAGTGTTTCGTAATAACGACGAGTTTAAAGAAAGACTTTTCTCATTCGCGATGACTGAGGAGAACGCCGACAAAACCGTGTTTTTGAGGACGTTATGTAAAACGATGGCCACTAATGCTTGCACAGCTGATTCGGTAAGAGAACTATTTACAATATTTCCTAGATATTTGATAGTAAAACAGTCTATGTTAATTTATACATTCCTAAACTTTCAATGATAAAAAATGAACCGAAAGTTTTGTATGTTTGATAAAAGTCCTGTATTTTATTCTGGTAAAGATGCACATAATGTGGTTTTTTATATTTACAGGATAAATTTCTAGCGTATTTAGAACCGCATCAGCTGGATATCGACACCAGTGACGTGGGTAACGGTACCTTATCTAAGGCGTTCAAATTCGCGAATCGGACGCGGCTCAAAGTTGGTAGGGCCTTTTCGTTTAATAAGACGCCCTCGAAACTGAAAAGGGCCGTGTCGTCGATGATGTCACCTTTTGGTAGTTCGACGAATCTCATAACCCCCGCCTCCCAACTCGCAAACATGAGACTGGCCAGTTACAGTAATATCAACGTAAGTTTATACAATGTGTATATTATTTTGTAATATTTAATAATTGAGTTTTAATTTATTTTTTATTAAATTATGAAATGTATAGTGTTCTATTTATTTTTTTAGGAAATCGGCGACCCCAATAACCCCAACGAATCTCCACCTGTCGCACCAATGTCCGTTCAACCCACACGAAAGCTCAAGGCTTCATCCCTGGGCGCAACAGCCCTAAAACGACTTTGATCCGTAATTTTTAGCCACTACTTTTTTAAGCCTAATCCTGTCTAGTATATTTTATTGATCTAAAATCGAAATACATTTGTACATATATATTTAATATTATTATTAT